AACTTTATTTTCTAATGACGTGATAATATAATTACTATAAACAGCAAGATTAGTAGATGTATATTTATTTCGGGAGAAACCATGTTGCTGATCAACGATTACATTTTTGCAATCCCATGATATAATTAAGCATTCAAGTAATTTTGGTATTTCAGATTGCAAACAAACTGCTCTATAGTTCTCCACATTTTCTCTTTTAACAGAATTGAAAATACTGTGTAACGGTTTAGCCAAGGTAAAAATAAAAATGCATTGCTTCAAAATTGGTATATCGTCAGGTCCATACAAAAATTTATTAGGAATTTTCATAACTTGTTCGATAATTAATTTGACATCAATGTAATAATGATTTATATTAACATCAAAATTATGACTATATTTAGGAACATAATTATTAACCTGCTGATTAGAATACACAGTAGAAAAAAAGTTTGCAAAGAGATTGACAATTTGTTCATTATTATCACCAGTTTGATCACCAAAATGCATGTTGGAAGGTAAATTATAAGATTTTCTTTTATCATTGAAACATTTCCAAAAAGATCTAATCTAATTTAATCTGTTTATCTAATCTATTTTCGCAAGTTTAAACAGTAATAGCGATCGAGATCAAAATAAAGACCACCAGAAGCAAATTTACTTTATCTCAGACGATCTAAAATTAAACACTGATTCTAGTTTATTTAGCTTCTATATTATCATATTGAAATAAGCAATCTAGCTGAAGCCATAAGATAACAGGACGAAATACCTATTTGGTATCAAGGACTATATACAAGGTATCCCTAAATTGCATATTTCAACAGGCCACCTTAAATTCGTAACTTTCAAAAGTTAACGCCTACTTAGACATATTACTCTCAATGTGGTACTACAACACGTTTTTTTTTCATATACCTAACTTTAAAACGATTTGAGCTAGAGACTTCTTACTTTTTTACACATCTTTTTTATCTGAATCGAATATACTACTTGCATGTAAAGAAATTATATACGAGTATTATTTATTTGAGGTCTTCATCCCTTGACTACACCAAAACTTCTTTCGTACATACAACCATGATTATTTAATTTACATTTTATAGTAGAAAGTTTTTTTATAAGTTTGTTTTTGTCTCTTGTTAATTTTAGATGTCTGGTGTGAATTACGAGTGAACAGCGTAATCTTCGGCAACTCCAATGAAATATAAGATGTTCAAAAATTCCATTCTAATATTGGGAGCGATTTTACTCATAAAAATAAGAAAAACAAATATTAATATACTTCTTAAACTGATGCCTAAGAGTACAGATTAACACAAATAAGTTTGCGTTTCTTACTCAGGCAGAGTTGCCCGAGATTGAGAAAGTACGCATTCGGTTAGAAGGAATAAGATGTACCTACGCGCGGCGATTGGGAATAGTGACTATCTGGAGCTTTGTCTAAGATCGGATTAATGCAGATTACAATATTACCAAAACCTTATTTAAAGCTTTTGAAAATTAGAAATATGTATTAAATTAAAAAGAGATTTACAATTAACCATATTTGCTAACACTTCTGCCCCGTTAACTTATTTTTCACTTGAGAAACAAAATTCATTGAGAAGTCATTTTGGAAACTATAACACTATCCTGAGTATTATATCCTATCCACTCGAACGTATATTTACAGATACACATCTAAGTGTTTCCCTTATTGTGTCTATTGCGCATTTGTGAGCGGACTCTGTCTCAGATGCAAACTTATTTATTTCGGTCTGTTCTATAGTTGCAAAAAAAAATAGACTCATTTCAACCCTTATAAATTATAATAATGCAAATTTTGGGCCATCGAGTTTTTGATTCAGTCGTCATTACCAATAAAGTGTTTGACTACTCCTGGATTTTATTTATATTCATCCAGGCTATATAATAAAATTATGTCATATGAACAAAGCTATGCACTCTTAAATTATATCCTAAAATTTCTACGCAATTATACTGCCGAAGCTAGGATTAAAAATAAAAGCGAGTCGTGCAAATTCTTTAAAAAGCCGTAAAACAGGAATCGGCTAATGGAAAATTTAAATCCAAACAAATTAACCCGTGGGCACTGCGGCTATTTTAAACCACCTTCATAGGAGACAGCCTTGAAATGTGCTAACAGAATTCATAAATCTCTCCGTTCAGTTCAAGAAACGGCAGAAATATTGTCTGGACTTACGTAATTTAGTCAATTAGGGTAGGGTTAATTGAAATTAGTTTTATCGAGCGTTTCTAATGCAGTTAAAATAATTAAAGTGGGTACCTGTGTAGTCTATTGTCTTACATCATGGTGCTTAATTTAGATCTCTTGTCTCAGCTCATTATTTTTAATTTAGAAAACGTTCAAAAGATTAAATTAGACAAAGTCAAGGTTATTATTTTTTATAAATAAAAGCAAAATAATAATGTCCAATATCTTTAGGTAGTCATAATTCTAATCCAAGCCCCAAATACGATTTAGTTGGTAAACTGTAGACACTTTCAACCCTTAGGGTAAATACAGGGTGCTAAAAAAAGAGTGTAAAATATTTCAGGAGGTAATAGTATGAACCAAAATAAGCAGAAAAGTCTTAATAAACATGGGTCCGCAAAGTAACGGTTGCGGAGATATGGACCACTATTCGTTTTTCAAACATTTTATTTTATTAGGAATAAACCGACAAAGGAAGCTTTTAACAAACAAAAAACAAAGTTACAGAAGATGTTCAAAGTGCCCTCCGTCCATTTCCAAGCAGGCACGACATCTTCGTCTCAACGATATTCGAACTCTTTCGAAAACACCCTCCTTGGTTTGGATTTCTTGACACTTTTGATTAATCCGTAGCTGCAGCTCTTCCAGGCTATTTACAGGAGTACCATACACTAATGTCTTCAAATATCCCCAAACAAAGAAATCTAGAGGGTTCAGATCAGGCGATCTTGGAGGCCATAAAACAGGTCCGGCCCTTCCTACCCATCTATGTGGAAAAGTTTGGTGTAAATGCTCTCTAACGGCCATGGAAAAATGAGCTGGAGCACCATCATGCTGGAACCACATTTGTTGCCTCTGATTCAAAGGAATGTCTTCCAAAAACTCATACAGTGTGTTCTGCAGAAAGTTGAGGTAAGCAGCGCCTGTTAATCGGTTTGGTAAAACAACAGGACCTAGAAACCTGTCACCTACAATACCCATCCAAATGTTTAATGAAAAACGTGCCTGATGTCCAGATTCTATTAGAGCATGAGGATTTTCGTCGGCCCAAATATGCGTATTGTGAAAATTAAACACTCCATTTCTTGTGAACCCGGCCTCATCAGTAAAAAGAATGTTTGCAAGAAAACGAGGGTCTTCAGCATCATGACGTAGAAACCAGCGGCAAAAAACCAAACGTGCTTGATGATCATTTATTGGATTTAAGGCCTGTACTCGTTGCACATGGTATGGATAAAGCAGTTGCTCGTGAAGGATTCTCCAAACAAGAGGACCACTAATTCCTACCTCGGCTGATATTCTCCGCACACTCGTACCTGGATTCTGCTCTACCAGTGCTAGAATTTCTTCTTCTGCTCTAGGAGTGGATACCGACCTTGGTCTTCCGGATAAATGGCACTGTTTGCTCAAGGAACCGGTATCACGCAATCTTTGGTGAATTCTTCCAAACATGCGTTGTGAAGGAATCTGGCGATTTGGATAAGCGTCAACATAAAGACGTCGCGCTTCGGTGGCGTTCCCATTAGCACGACCATACATGAAATGCATGTCTGTTAATTCTGCGTTAGAGTAACCAGCCATAGCGAAAGAAAACTTGTGCACTGAGAACAACTGTCAAATACGTACTGTTTATTTCACTAAACATCAACCAACTATTATAAGAAAATACACAACGTTTTTGCAAAATAAAAAAAGGGGCTAAAAAACATAAAACATTCCATATCTCCGCAACCGTTACTTTGCGGACCCATGTTTATTGAGACTTTTCTGCTTATTTTGGTTCATACTATTACCTCCTTAAATATTTTACACTCTTTTTTAACACCCTGTATAACTTATTTATATTGTTTATTATTCTTGCTGTTAATCGTAACTGTTGTGATGTGATGTTTATCTTTTGAAACACGTACAATAATTTTATTTACTCAAGTTCCATCTTAACAATTGATTTTTTAAACTCTTTTTCATAATTTTCATACCCCGCCGCTAGACAAACTAGTGTAACCTGAAACAACCGCACGCGCCAGCTGCGAGTGCATACTCAATTGGGAGCTACGACTGCATTGTTGACAAATCACATCTTTCTTGACTCGCAGACATGTTTTTTCATAATATCGCACTGAAATTTATCAATGAAGACACACAAACACACCGTATCATCACAACACACTGATATAAATAACTGTATACACTACACAAAACGGCTCACTAAATACCATTTAATTTTACTATAAAATTAAACTTAATAAGACACAACATTGTGAAAAAGTGTGCAAATAATAGAAATTCATTTTTTTAAATTTTATTATTAATTTTATAGGTACATTATTGGTCCTTGTCTTCTTCAAAGTACTCCCCTTCCCAATTCACATACTTTTCCCAGCAGTTCGTTGATCCAAACTGAAGAGACAAGCAATCAAAGTTGAGGGAATTTGGAGCCCTATAACTTGTGAACAAAAGCATATTAGAGTCTAATATTTTACCCAGTTTAGTTTAGGACCAAAGGCTACATCTGTGCAAAATTTCATGAAAATTGGAGATGGTCGACCCATTTAAAAAATCTTCACTAACACTTAAACACGTTTCACTCAAGTAACAATACCGCATATCACCAAATGTCTCAATTAGCGCGTAATTCAAAAAGCTCGGTTATTTGGATAGAAAAAAAAAAGATTAGTATTCTGGGGAACACGTACTATCACCCCTATTCGAGAATCATTAAATTCATTATCTCTATTTTCTTTGAATAAAATATCGGTAGTCAGTTACACAGAAATTAATATCAATTTATTTTTAATTGCAGATACACAACCGGAAGCAACCTAACATGGCTGCAGCGTCAACAACAAAAACTCAAAGAACGGAGAGAACACCAACTGAGAGAGGAGAGACAACCTCACGAAACGAGACTGCTCTCGGAACTAAGAAGCGTCCAAAGCAGACACATGGGGCCGACGGCCAGCCACCGCTTGGACGGCTACACCAGCGACACAACAGCCTTCGCTGACGACGACGACGACTACACCATACCCCTGCATATCAACACACCGGGATCCACCTCCAGCTACAGCACGCTGAAGTCGACGTACTCTACTACAAAAACTGAGAGACCTTTCATGACGGTCAAAAGGGCTCATGAAAAATATGCGCAGGTAATTTTTTTAATATTTTTACAAGCTGTAAGACGGATTCTTCCAAGGTTCTGGTAATATCAGTAATACCAAAAAAGTATTTAAAATTCAAGTAACACCAAATTTGTTTCTGTATATTTTACCGTTATTATATTCAATTTTATAGACAATTGTCCCAATTCTCATTTTTCCTAATAGATCTAAATCGTAGTTGTATTTGAAAAAACAAAGTTAGGTCAGTCTATAATCGGAAATTATTTTAAAACGAGAAGATACAGATTTCTTACAACTTTTATTTGAAACATTTTTCTTCGGTATTGACATTACCAGAGCTATGGAAGAAACTTATGTGGGACACCTTTTGTATAAAGAAAAACCAGAAAAAATACTTGATTTTACCATTTCATCCATTTTTCATAAATAAGGAAGTCATTTCCCATTTTACACTAATTGTAACATTTCTAAAACTTCTTATAAGTTCATATGGGTCACAATAATGCTATAAAAACTTTAAAATGTAACAAACTAACCAAACAACATTTCAGAACTCCAACCAATCTCCAGCATCCATATTGGCAGCTAACCCCCTAGGCCAAATCATAAGGCCACCCTCAAGAGGAAGCCAAGATCAGGTGGACAGCGGCCTGCTGTCCCTGGTCGAACAGCAAGAGCAATATAACAAAACCAATAGTTCCCGCTATAACCAAACCATGGTGGGTATTGAAAATAGCGATAGTTCACCTACAGACTCACGAACAGACAGCACCCGCATTGACGCACTCAATGATCTGATCGCTAACTTATCCAGTGGCTCTGATAAGTCTAGTAATAGCCCTAACACTACATCTGCATGGCAGGTACTAACACCTCATTACGTTTTATTTTATTTTATTTATGTGGCCATCTGTATCAAATTTAGTGTAGATTTATAATATGTATTAGAGTGGACATAAAACAAATGACCTGGTATCGATAACAAAATTCTCTTTTCCTAGAGAAAAACAAGTTGTAAGTCATGAGTTAAAAACAGATGAAATACTATGCTTTAACATTTTTTTACTTAGATTTTAATTTAAATTACTATTTCACCAATCACCAATTTATACATACAAAAACTGTCACAGGCTACATGTAGAGAATAGTTTGTTTTCTATGCAATATATTTTTTGTGCAAAATGAAAAATTATCAATTTACAGCATGTTTTTTTCTAATGGCATACTTTTTGAGATATAACAGGAAATTTTCTTTCTTTTATGAGGCAACTTATATGTTTCTACTTTTTTGGATAAAGAATTTTTTTACATTTATAGTGATTTAATATTTATTAGTAAAGATGTATTCAAAGGAGTGAATTGTAAGCTTATTCCACATATTTGCTTGATAAAGAAGTTTTTACTTTTTGCCTAATGCATTGTGCTACTCTTGTGAATATACAGGGTGTTAATGAACTTATGTAAAATAGTTTTGCTACATGTCCGTTATCTCAAGATGAGGTAAATACACGGATTTGTGTAGAGTAAAATGTAATTTTAAAATCTGACTTACCTCAACATTACAAGGAGTCACCTTTTGAGAACTAATTTTCATAGAAGATCTTCGATGTACCCACCATTTGCTTGCACACAAGGTTCAGCGCGACTTATCCAATTGGCTCGCACACGTTACAACATTGCCACGTCCTCTCGAATCGTATTATAAGCTTCGGCAATAAGATGTCACAGTTGGTCGATATCACGAACTTCCGTGGAATACACAACACTTTTCACATATCCCCACAAAAAGAAGTCTAAAGGGGTGAGGTCCGGGGACCGGAGGGGCCATCTAACTAGGCTGACGCGGCCTATTCAGCGATCGAAAAAAGTAATGTTTAGAAAGTCTCGCACTCTCTGAAAAAAGTGAGCGATGCAGTAACTCCATCATGCAGTAACTACATATTTTGCCGAACATTTAATGGTACGTCTTCTAATAACTTCGGCAAACGATTTAAAAAAAAATCTAGATATGAAGCACATACTAAGCTTCTAGGCATTTCAAAAGGTCCTATTAAAATGTCATTAACGATACCGGCTCACATGTTCACTGAAAACTGTTGCTGAAAGGCACCAGGACGTATTTCGTATGGATTTTCGATACGTTACGTACATCATTTCGACTGAAACATGCTTCATCTGTAACAAGTATTTGCGCAGTAAATTGAGGATTTATTGCATGTTCCTGAAGCAACCATTCGCAAAAACCTCGACGTATTGGAAAATCCTCAGGAGTAAGCGCTTGGACACGTTGAATATAAAATGGGTACAACTGAGCTTCTCATAATGTCCGCCACACAACAGGATGCGAAATATTTACTTGCCGTGCGATATTTCTGGTGTACTGTTGTACTTCACCCGTATCCAAAAGTATTTGCACTACAGCAACAAATGTTCGCGGTGCGTTTAGAATATCTTGCAAGGTATACTTAACAAGCTCTGTGGGCATTTTCGTTTGCTTCGCCATAAATTATGAGCATATCATTAATATTCGCGATAGTTAAATAAATGCGTCATTTTCAAAAGAAAACTTGGAAATACGGCTATTAATTGTACTCTCAAAAAACAGCACAGCAATCGCTACAACAATGTATTACAAACTGACTTTCGAATATAGTCCGGTTTCATAAGAAACCTACAAACTCGTAAAAAGTGTTACAGAATTTTTTGTAAGTACTCGCTGTGATAAAATACATGTATTTCAGCAGTTCCAAAACAGTTTTGAACACATTCTTAATTAGCTTTTTTCTCTATGATCTTAAATTTCTGATACAAGTTTGTGACATCAGTTAACTCAGTTTTTGCTCCTTTTTCAAGCCTTTAAATTTTTGACATAAGTTCATTAACACCCTGTATTATCACTGAAATATGTACTCTAGATAAAATATCCATTAAAATAGATTGTTTATTATACTGCAATGCAGTTTTACAAAAATACAATTGCTCTAATCATGTGTTTTTACCTCTAGATGACAAATTTTATATCAATCATATTGATTAAAACGTAAGTTACAGGGACAATGCCATTTAAAAAAAAAACAGCCTGTAAATGATTTTTTTTTATTAGATTGAAGAACAGTCTTATATTTGGCCATTTAGTAATTCCTGAAACTTAAAAATTCTATTTTATTGCATGCTCTAGGCTGAAATAACAGTTTTTTGTCACTGCTTTCTAATTGTTCACCTTTAAAGAAAAATATATAATTTCATTACTATTTCACTGTCACAACAAGGATACTACTAATTATATTTCCATCCATATATTTTGTTCTTGCTTCTCAGCATGATCGGGCACAGTTAGATCAATTTTAATAGTAACTAAATTATTATTCATTTATGCAATCTAGTTAGATCAATGATATCAGCACACTGATTACAGTGTATACATTTCTGCAAATTGTGAAATCGACGCAAGCCGTTATTAAGTTAGTTCATAATTGTAATTAATTATATGCAAAATATACACAATTAAAGTATTTACAATATATACAACAGAGTAAATACAATAAATATTTTAACTAAACAGTAAATTGCCGTCATTAACGATTTAGTTTAATATTCTTTTCCAAAATCTACAGTGCATTTCACAGAAAGCATATCTAAATCTAATTGTGTTTCATTCTATGCAAAAAAATATTAAACCCAATTTTGTATTTCTTTGTTCTAAAGTATCGAGAGGACTCGATTCAGTCTTGGCGTTCCCAGGATGTCGACTCCAGTCCATCGCACAACTCTTCACCAAGGCCACAAACTCCCGCCTTCCCAGTGCACGCCCGAACCCCATATACCAATGCCTCGACACCCACAGTGCAGTTCGATTTACCCTCCGAACGATTACCACCAAAAAGTCCTACAACCCAGCGGTAAGTCGATTAGTCTTAAAAGAAATGACAACTTGGGGAGATTTTCCAAAAACTATTGAGATGTCCAAGTAGATACTCACACTTACTTAATAAAAAATACAAATACAAATACAAAATACTCTGAGAGTTTTAACCGAAAACTAAACAAAAATGTTTAAAATACAGTTTCGTCACTTTTCCTGGTTTCCTCGCATTATTGTATCACAACTTTTTTAATAACTCAAAAATAAAATCATCAAAATTTAGTATAACACACTTAAATCTTAATATTAACCTTCTATTTTCCTCAAAATGGGAAACTTTCACTTTTAGAAAATTTTTATTGTTTATTTAACCTCATAAATTTTGCCAGATCATTAAAAATTCACTCATCTCCTCAAGTTGTTCCACGATGTCTTTAACATCCATCTGCGCTTCTACTATATCGCACTAAATTGCATTATAATTTGTAGCCGATTGAGTTATCCATCATCAGTTACTAAAAATACAATGAAGTGGTCGCTTTCTCCCGAGAGGTAACGTAATTTCGTATATGTTGGCCCGTCAAATTCATTAGCATGTTGATATCGTTTGTTTATGTGCTGAGAGTTTATATCATCACAATTGTGTCTGTAAATATCACCACTTCTGTCTTCTATGTTCCGTTTGGGTTTAAGATTTGGTTCAACTTTAAAATATATGTAAAATAAGCATTCATTGAAAGTTACATTGTTATCGAAAATTATATACTAAAGTGAACCAAAATCTATAGAATTGTAACAAACTTTGTTTTTAGAGTATAAATTATATTTAGAACTCACTATTACTATTTTACATATTTTTTTTAGCTATAGGTACTAATAACTACAATAAATATTAAAGTTTCAAAAGTAAAAAATAAATTAATTAAAAGTAATAGATAAATAATGTGTAAATATACAGTTGTTTTAACTTTATTTTTATTTCACCTATAAGAAAGGAAATTAATTTTGTAAAATGCAAGCTACTAATAACAGTAAAAAAAATATTTTACGAAATTTAAAAACGATTCATAATGTTTCACTTGAGGAATGTAACGGAACGTCTCATTTTTTGCATGATAATGTGAATTTAACCAAGTATTAACTAAGTATATTTAAAATGTTATATCAAAAATATTTAGTTTAAAAAACTTGACTACAATCACAGTTGAACCAAAATAAAGATTTTTGCATGAAAAATCTATTCAACATTACATTAAGATTCAGGATGATTGAAATTCAAGCTTCAATTTGAGATTTTGCTTACCATAACAAGTAAAAAGATTATTATTTCTTAAATAATGTGTGTGATTCATCGCATTTTATCACTTACGAATTTCATGGACAAAAAAGTATAAACACCCATTGGATTCTAGTCACTCTGAATAAACAAGGACTCTCTAATTATCATATAAGTACCTAAAGCATAAGAATGAACTAATACTTTGGCTGAACACTGAAATTATACTCGTATTGCATATAAATCAATGTCTGTACAAAGTTGCACTTGTTTCATATATGAACACTGCGTTATAAGGAATCTACTGCTGTACCCAATCTCTATTTTTTCGTTTCACATTCCAGAAAGGACCGACCCACTTCACCAACAGATTTGACAAACGGTTCAGGCTCCGAATACACACATACTATAACCCATAGGAGTATATCTGCGACACCGACTTCGGGATTTAGAGACTCCACAGAAAACTATCAGCACAGCCCAAAGAGCCCCTCTTACAATGGATCGTCTTCGCCGACAGTGTACTACGGAAATTCTAGGCGAAGTTCCGTTAATTCGGCCAATGAGTTACCTCATGAAGTTGCGGCAGCTCACGTTAAGTTTGTCAGGGACACTTCCAAGTTTTGGTACAAGCCTACTATTTCTAGAGAACAAGGTGACGATAACAACAGTAAAAATTAATAATAATAAACTTAACTGGAATTTTATTTGCAGCTATAAATATGCTAAGAGACCAGCTACCAGGCACTTTCGTGGTAAGAGACTCCAATTCATTCCCTGGGGCTTTTGGATTGGCCTTGAGGGTTGCCACGGTGCCTTCGAGTGTTCAAAACAAGTCACACAGCAGCGATGAACTAATTCGTCACTTCTTAATCGAACCTACCTCCAAAGGGGTGAGACTAAAAGGTTGCCAGAACGAACCGGTTTTTAGCTCTTTATCCGCTCTGATATATCAGCATTCGATCACCCAGATGGCACTACCGTGTCGATTAATATTACCGGAAGGTGACCTTAGATACACCGAACAGAATACGCCATCACTGTACACTCAAGGTGCAGCGTGTAATGTTATGTACCTTACGACTGTGGACATGGAATCACTAACAGGACCGCAGGCTATCAAGAAAGCGGTGATGAATCTTTTCCAGATGAATCAAGACGCAGTGAAAACTGCTACCGTGCATTTTAAAGTAAGCGACCAAGGAGTCACACTGACAGACAATAAGAGGAAGTTGTTCTTCAGGAGACATTACCCTATCAATACCATATCACACTGTGGGTTAGACCCCGATGAACACCGATGGCTCGTTAACGTTGAAGATACGGGATCCGCGAAGAGTTCAAAGTGAGTAAGAATTTATTTTGTTGATTTAATTTAAATATGGAAATCATACATACCCAGTTGAGTCAGTAAAAAAACCCAAATCTTAAAAGCCTATCAGACAAATTAATGTCATAATTAGTTCTACCCTACATTCATAAAAAAATATTAATAATATATTAAGGAGGTTTATCCGGTACGGGGATACGTCTAAAGTCTAACGAGAGTTTCTGTAGATTCGCTAGTGACTAAAGTAGTAATAAGTCTTTAGATTTGGCATCGTTGTACTTGGCTGGCGTGCTTGGCTCAGCGTTCGCTCATTTGCGCTCGATCATTCTGTTTGTTTGGATGCCTAAGCTTGAAATATACATCATATTTCACACCTGTGAATTTCAAATAATAGGCTTCGTCGAGAACCGCGGCGTTGCCGCTATTACGCATATGGAGGTTAAGTTAGTTAACGACAGCAGTTTGAATGAGAATTATTATAAATTAAGGTGTCTTACAAGTACCTATTCCTAACCTAACTTAACCTAACCTAATCAATTTCTACGAGCTGTCACACGGTTCCTTCGATATCGGTTTCCTATTTATACCAGTGCTGTGGAAGCTGTTCGTCAATTGTTGCGCATTCTAAGTGGAAAAACCACAAAAATCTGAATTCTCACTTCGTACTAAATCGTGAAAAATAATTTTTTTTATATGTCGTCTCTTAGGTATCCAAACTATAGTCATAATTTTTTTGAGGATTTTCTTCATATTAATAAGCTTATATTAAATATTGTAAATTCCAAATCAGACAAACTTCCTTAAATACTATTTGCCAAATTGTAAAAATAACATCCATATGAAATTCTATTATTTATATTAGCACAAATATTTGAAGGAATTTCTACCAAACTAAATTCTTCGTTGTCATTCTGTATCGTTGATTTTATAAGCTATGCTATCCAAATAAAAGGGTCGACGCTTCAGGGGCATTGCGATTGACCCCTCAGATATGACAAATTACTTCTTTTTGAAGCACATCTTGGTTTCAAGAGCATTGACCACACTGCCCCCTAACCGCGAACGGCCTAACTTTTCTTTAAAAATATAAGCAATGTCAACAATTAAATGGACCCTATTGTCCTATATGTCTTATAGCTGTTTTACATTAGCAATTTATTCATGAATTAATTCATGAAGTCACTTCGTGAAGAAATTGGACAAGTGTAATGCACCAAATCAGCTGTCAAATAACTTCATCAATTTATTCATCAAACAACTTTATGAATTTATTCATTCAAGTTCAGAAGTACCAACCCAACAAATCTTCAGCCTCAGATCAGTAATGAGGTTATGTTGTTGGCATATGTAAATAATTGTGTGGCGTTGTAGTAGTTTTGTATTTTTTTAATGATCTGTTGCTCATAAAAACTAATATTTATAAACAGTGTCAAAACAGTAAGCTGCTGTTGTATCATTACGTACATGTGGAAATGTAAGACATTTTAATTAAATTTGAAATTTATTTGATTCTTTGATTTGTTGGTAGAACTGATTTATGTGTCAAAGAAATTCACAAAGTCTCTCGCAGTGTAAAACCAAACCCTTTATGAATACATTCGTGAAATATTTATGAAGAACTTGGTGAATTTATTCACGATTAAATTGTCAATGTAAAACATCTATTATAATTGTTTATTTTCATGTTCACTAATTATCTTTTAGTTCTCTCACAAATCAGCAGTATCCCTGAAAAACTTGAAATTATTTAAACTTTTCCGGTAAATTACCTGAATACTAATAAAGTACCCAAAAGTTTCTCATTACAACCAAATGAACTGATTATGTCAGAGATAGTTTTTACTGTTAAATGCCAGAATTCAATGGAATCTATGTTCACATTTATAAAACCAAAATGAAGCACAAAAGCACAAAAAATTATTCATATTTTCTAGTCCATCTAACAAATTGGTGTAAACCATTCTTGAAAAGAACTACTTAATACTAAATGACAAATGATAAATGAGGTATTTTTGTTATAATAACGGTGTCATTTAGGCAACAGGTGATTCCCCTCCATCGATGCATCAGAAAAACGAAAATAAGTCTTTGATGGACTAATGTCTTACCAACAGATTCATTGGTTTAATTAGAAACTGTTTAGGAAAGAGAAACGTTATTGATACATCTTGTGCCATCTGTGTGGCAGTAAGGAACTTGTTACACCACAATCAACTGCTGTTTTGGAGCACAACTACTATTGCCAACTTTGAAACATAAGTTTGAATTTTCAATTAATTTTTGTCATTAATTAATTTTCTCATATTTTAAAGAATAACCCAATATTTTGATCTAAAATTCTGCAACATTTTGATACATCTTTTTTATATAAATAGTACAAATTATATGTCAAACGGCCATTTCGGAAAAACTAGAACAATGGATTGTGGTACTTAGTCAATCTAAAGACTTTATTTTCTACAATTTGTGTCCTCCATCTTTAGCATAAAAATTGCAAGTTTAATTAACATGAACCAACTTTAATACTTACATTTTTAAAGTCGGTGAGCAGAGCAATAATATCCATTATTTTTTCAGTCGAATATTTGGATTCGTAGCAAGGAAGCCGAATGTAAATAACCCGGACAATCAGTGCCATCTGTTTGCCGAGCTAGAACCTGAACAACCCGCCACAGCAATTGTTAATTTCCTAAATAAAGTGCTTTCATCTAGCGGTATCAAGCCCAACATTGTATAAAAATTAGCTACTAATCTTTAAAGGAGGATGAAAATTATCACATCACAATTTAATTTATATCAAAATTTATCTGCCAGTATTTAAAAAATACTTAATAAAATTAATGTATAAAAGTTAAAATATGTTCAAAAAAGTTTATTCCGAAGTCACAAAATTATAATTAACTAGTCCACTTATTATTTAATGAAGTTTAGGTTTTAAGAAATTCTATTTTTATTTTTTTTGGAGTACTATTGTATTTCACAAAATAATGTAAATATATTTAAGTAACACTAAGTGTGCCTGTCTATTTTTATTATTTTACTTTGAAACCACATTTTGTTTGAAGGTGAAGTGCTTTAAATATTTTGAATATTAGCATTGTTCACGATTTTTTTTTTATCGTTTTCAAGAAGAATTCTACTGGACCTTGTTAGTGTTTTTGTTATGAAAAATTAACAAAAATCATTGTGGTAAGCCAATACAATTAGTTTTTTGCCAAGGTATCGGTGGAGTATCTATTATTTTACTTTTACTTTGACATATACTATATATTTTTTCATTTTTATTCATACATAGTTTTTTCATATTCCATACACTAACAAAGTCATTTAACATCGTAAACGTAACTCGAAGCCAGGGTAATAAGTAAATTTAGTATAAAAGTATATTGTGCAAATTTATTTTCAGCGCTATTATTTTCTATAATGAATCTCTGATACATTAAAGCTTACATTAACAAATACATTGTTATAGTTTAATAGAATTTAATATATTCATTATAATACCTATGTAAAACTTTCAGTTTCATTAATAGTACAAAAATAATTTTAACACATGAAGTGTCAAACAATCAAACCTGTATAATTATATCAAATACCTATATATACTGTTATCTATAATAGATATATAACAATGGTGTATTTAGAGAGGATATATTAAAATATAAATACTAATTAAAAGTTGTCATTTTATTTCCCCCTGAATTGTCCATTATTTAAAACCACGGAAGCTCAATAAATTATTACCTATTTAATAGTAATGATAAAACAACAAATAAACACATTGACAGTAATATTTTTTTGGCTTGATTTACAGAGAACAACATAGTCCCCCAAAACATCGAAGCTAATCTAATGTGTGTTGTAAATAACCAGCCGGAAAATTGTTCAGTCAAGTAATTTGTTACACCTAATGCTATTTTGTGCTTTAAATAGCTCTATATACTTACCTACTATAGGATTCGTTTTTTCACTAAATACAGTCTGAAGCAGCAAAATCAGAATCACAGATATAATTTACGCCTATATAGAGGTTTAACTTATTAAAATTACATTTTAAACCTATTCTATTTATTTCTATTCTCTTACAATTCCTGCAATTTTATCCAGACAACTGTGAAAGTGAAACTGTCTGCCATTGTTCTTGTTAATTTTATAAGTGCAACAATTGAAAAAACATACATAAGTAATTTTTAACTTTTTTTACTTACCTTGAACTCGTAGGTTTCTGCAAAAGGCTCACCAGTAAGTAAACTTTTCCCTGTAACAAAATTAAACTAAATTTAGAATAAATTTTTATCTCGTAATTATTTTTTCCTTACCACAGAAAAATTTAAAAAAAAAATGAATAACACTTCTACATAATACAGTTTATATTCAGGTTAACCAAAATGTGTCAGTTTTAATGGAAATATACGCCACGAAACTTTTCTAAAAACTTAAAAACAAAACTGAATATCAAAAACACAATATTTTTCAGTAAACATTTTGAACTGTTAATTGATACCCGCCACCACACACATCGGTTGAAATGGAAAATTAAAATGAAACCAAATATCACAGACGCAGAGAACATTATTTGTGAAAGATTTAGTACGGCAACGCGTCGTCAGGTGCGCTGATGATTTAAATTTTAATAAACAAAATAGAAAACTTTATCCCGCATTTTAAGATGTTAACGTTTCGAAAATCCCTCTTTTTTCGTCTTCTGACCTTATTCTGTCTTTCTGTTTTAGTTACCTTTGACAGTTTATTTGTGTTAAGTTTTTTGTATTCTATATTTGTCTGCTTTTTCAGTGTGAGATTTTTTGTTTTGACAAAACTATTTTCATAAAAAATAACCCCAGACTGATTTCACTAATTTAGAAATTTTTTCACAAATGGCAAAATATCCAAAAATAAAGATAAAATAACGTGGTGTTACTATAGTACGATCGTATTCGATGCAAAGTAATAAATCATTGCCTGTCAAAGGAATCAGTGCAACACATTTTATAGGGGGTTTTGGAAATTGAATAATTTCTTTATGCATTATGGATTAACAGTTATATATTTATGAAGGACAAAATGAAAATTAAAGGCATCTCCTTCGCACATTGGACGGCAGGACAACAATACATTTATTACTCCCTTCATTATCCCTCATATGACTTGCGTCTTGTGTTTTTTGCGGCGGCGCGCGTGCCGGCCTGGCGTGGTCAGTTTCGTTTCGGTTGTACTGGTGCTGCGTGTTTCTCGCTCGCGATATTTGTGAGGTTATAACTGTTATAAGTGCAATTATATTTCTTTTGGGCTATATGTGTGTTTCGCGCTATTATTTGAGAATTTGTGAGTGAAATCATAATTCTTGTGCTCCGTAACAAAAGTGTTTTTAGTGTTTTATTTGTGTGCTGTGTGTGTGTTTCGGGCTGTTGTTTGTAAATCGTGAATGCTATTATATTTTCTGTGCTAGTGAAGTGAAGTTTTTTGTATTATTATTGCTCTGTTGTCGTTATATGGATAAATGGAGGCGGTGCCTGGATGTTCGCGAGCCGGATGTACTGCTGTGGGTACAAAAAAATCTATATTAAGTTACAGAGAAAAAACGATAATATTAAATGTCTATAACCCTTTAGAAAAGGATCATCCCATGAAACTGAAGACTGGTTTGGTGGAAATGTGTTCTAGATATACTGGAGTAAGCGAATTATCTGTTTTCAAAATTTTAAGAGAGAAGAAAATTGAAGGAGACGTTAAGAAACCTAAAAAAGGGGGTGCAAAGAAGAAATTAATATTAAATGAAGATGAGAAAAATGCAGTTTGGCGTACAGTACATAAATCATAGAATTTATATTTTGTTTATAATT